GCGACCCCACAGCTTCTCCGGTGCACGGTGGGGTGGCCCCGCTGGCCTGGGAGTTCAGCTGGTGAGGTTCCCCCGCTGGGTCTGCCAGACCCCAGGACTCACAACAATACCCGCGTGAGGCTTCCCTGGCCCAGCGCGATGCTGAAAACGAGCCAGGCCCTCTCCAAAGAGCTGCTCAACCTGAGGCCACAGGAGCTTCAGACTGACCAGGGAGGTAGGCGGGCGGCACGGGCCCATTGGCCAGATGAGAACACTGAGTCCGCGGTGGTTGTGAGCTCAGACCAGGATCTCACAGGGCTGGGGGATTGAGCTGCCATCAAGGTACATGCCCTTGACCAGAATCAAACCCGGGCCCTTCAGTCCCCAGGTGGACGCTCTATCCACTGAGCCACACCGGCCAGGGCTCAGTGTTAGGTCTTGGGTCCTCCCTCCCCCATTCCTCTCCTCTCTGACCTGCTGACCCAGCGGCTCCCTGGGCATCGCCCTCCTTGCTGGGGTGGGAGGTCTTGGTGAGGTGCTGTGTGTGGAGGGAGAGGGTCTGGGGCCAGGCCACAGCCTAGGGGTCCGCCCTCCTCGGTCTCACGCCATCCAGGGCCCAGAGCCTCACTTTCTCCATCTGTTCAATGGGCCCGTCAGCCGGTGTCTGCTCTGTCCCGGCGGAGGACATGCTGCATCAGAGCTGGTTGCCCCAGCCCACGCTCCAGACCCCTCGCTCCTTCCTTTCTGGGGTGGACAGATGAGAGGACCCAGGTGGTGACTCGCAGGAACGCGGCCGGGCTGGGCGTGGCTTCCTGGACCAGGCGGTTTGGGGCCGCTGCTCGCTTGCACTCAGAGGACGGAGGCAGAAAGGACTCCTTGGCCCTGGGAGGGGGAGATGGGGGCCCAGGGCCCCCTCATGGGAGGCCAGTGCCCTGAGTGGCCTTCACTCTGTCCGTGTGGAGCTGTTGGGGCTCCGGCTGTGCCGCCTTCACGGGCATCCGGATCGGCTGTGTTCAGCCTGCCCGGCCAGGAGCAGAGCTGGTCAGGGGCCTTTCCCAACCAGGAGAGAGCCCCCGCTTGTCTTGGCATCCGGGGGGCCTGGCTGCCCCGCCCGCCCCCGCCCCTCACCAGGAGGCGGGCGCTTCGCACAGGAGGCGCCAAACCGGGTCAGTGTGCCCGGCCCTTGCTGCCCCACTGCCGGGCCGGACGGTGTGCCTGTGGGCAGCTCCAGCCTGGCCCTCCCCTGGGTGTGCTCTCGGGGGACCCCAGGCAGTGTGGCCCCTCATCTGGAGGGCGTCTCCCTCCGTCCCTTGGTCCCAGGGTTTCCGAGCGGGTCCACGCTGAGCACTCCGAGATGGGCCGAGACCCCGGGTGCCGCCAGCGACCCTGCCAGGTGCTCCCTGGCATCGACCTCTGGGCTGGATCTGAGGATTGTGTTTGTTGGAGGAGGGCGGAGGCGGGTGG